GGGAGCGCAGCATAAACTTCTCCTTTGCCTTCACTCTGGACTGGCCTCAGTTAATATTTGCAGCAAGCCTACTATTGGACGCCAAAAACCAGGGAGGAGTGAGCCCCCTCTTATCTGCCCAGTGCATTTTTGGGGCGCCCTCCCCTTCCGCTCGCCTCAGGGGTCCTCAGCCATGCTCTGGTGTCTATTTCTGGTGACGCCCCGCCGGCCCGGCCCCTCTGTCCATCAGAGATAGCCCTTGGTTTTCCCGTCCGACCCAGCGTGGCAGTGGAGGTGCCCGTGTCAACCATCTGGTCCATAGCCAAGGGTAAACGATTGGGATGCTGGTCCTTTAGTCTTGACTTGTGATCTCCGGAGATTAGCGTGGGTAATCAATGTTCTAAAATTGAATCCCGGACACCTCTAGGGTGCCTCCTGGCCACACTCACTAAACCCGGGCTGATGCCGGACATTCATCCAAAGCGCCTCATCTTTTTTTCCACGGTCGAGTGGCCCCAGTACAATTTGGACAATGGTCTAAATGGCCCAAACACGGGACTTTTGATTTCAGTATTTTAACTGATCTAAGTAACTTCTGCCAAAGGACTGAGAAATGGCCTGAGGTTCCCTATGCCCAGGCCTTTTTTTCTGCACTCTGTATTTCCTGTCCCCCTTCCCAGGTTCTTTTAGCCTGGGAAAATCCCCCTTCTCTTCCCAGCCAACTGGACCAACCTGACCAGCCTGAGCACCTTGCCTCCCTCCCCTTCTACTCTCCCCCGTCCTTATCTGGCCATCCACACCCTTCTTCCCCTTCCACTGCCCGTTTTCTTGTCCTCAATTTAAAGGATGCCGTTTTTACCCCCACCCCCTGACCCAACTAGTCAGCATTCCTTTGCCTTCATGTGTAACCCCTCCTTAGACAGTTCTAAGGTCAACACAGCCCAGATCCTTAACTTCTTAGCTTCTAAAGGTTAGAGTTTCTCCCTCCAAGACACAATGATCTGGTACCACCATTATCTATTTAGGCCTGTGCCTCATCCCCACCACTGGGGTTCAACTTTGGATAGATGCCAGGTTGTAAGGGACCTCCAACCTCTGACTTCGGCTAACCAAATCGTTTCCTTTCTTGGCTTGGTGGGAATTTTCAGACAATGGGTCCCCACATTCTCCCTTATAGCTAAACATTATACAATGCAGCAAAGACAACTCCCGGTGGACCTTTGGACTCCCCAGGGGTGGTCACAGCAGCCTTTAATAAGCTCTAGGAAATGCTTTTACAATCCCCACTACTGTGTTTACCAAACCCTGACAAACCCTTTTTTCTTTTCACTAACGAAAAGCAGGGCATGACAATCGGGGTCCTCATCCAGCCTCTGGGACCCACCTACTCTCTGATAGGGTATTTATCCAAACAGCTGTATGCACGGTCTGGGGTAGAACCTGTGTCTCCGTTCCCTGGCAGCCACAGCGCCCGTACCAAGGAAGCCCTTAAAATCACCTTGGGATAACCCCTTCAGACCTTCTCTCACACAGGCTCCAGGACTTATTGTTGCGTCATTTCCTCCTCTCACTCCCTCGGGGCAGGACGCAGGAAATCTATTTGCTCTTTCTTGAAAATCCTGATTTAGGCCTTCACCAGTCCACCTCGCTTAATACAGCCACTGTCTCCTGCCAAAAAAGGGCTGCCTTCTTGCCCATAATGGTGGGTCTTAACTTAGCCTCTTCAGTCATGGCATCAGGTTTCGCCAGTGGGGCTTTAAAAGGCCACAGCATGATCCAGGCCCAGCACTTTGAGGAGACGCTCCAGCTGGCTACAGAATCCACCTTAGTCTCTCTAGCTTCCCTACAGTGACAGCTCACTTCCCTAGCACAGGTAGGCCTCCAGAACCAAAAGGCCTTAGATCCCCTAACTGCAGGAAAGGGAAGCACCCGCTTGTACCTAAGGGAAGAGGGCTGCTATTATGCTAATTAATCAGGGCTGTTAGAACAAAGCATAGAAACCCTCACCGAATTGGCTGAAGATCTTAAAATCTGCAGGGGAGACAATGCTCACCACTCTCTATGTCCCCAAACCTCGTTTTAACCTGGATCCTTCCTTTAACTGGGCCACTTGCAATTATATGTTTCTTGTTACTAATAGCTCTCTGTTTCTTCAGAACTAATAGCTCAAATTTCTTCAGAATAGGATAAGAGACATGACCAACTTAACTGCCAACCAGCTTCTTTTACACCCTTACAGCCCCCTGCCTACTGAACTTGACCCAGCATGCTCTGGCTTTTAATCCTCCGTTGCCCCTGTCCAGCAGGAAGCAGCAAGGAAGACTCGCATTGCCCCATTATCATCAAAATCCAGTATGTTAGGTCAGGTACCGGTTAGGGGTGGGGGTTGAGGGGCCATTAGGAGCAGTGTAACCTGCTCTTATTGGGCTGAGATGGCTAGTTTCAAAAGGGCTCCAGGACAATGAGCCATCTCCTTGGTATCAGACAGAATGATCAAGATACCATTCTGCCTTGCAATTTTGCAGATGGAGCCAGTTTAAGCCCCTGCAGCTCTAGCTCCAGCCTCCCTCCTTTCTTGTTTACCCTCCTGACCAGCTTAAAAACTTGGTCTTCAACACAGATAGGTGTAACCTCTTGATCCCCCAGCTGGGGGCTTAGGTGCCTCGCCCAGAGCTCAGGGCTCCCATCTCTTTCTCTGCTCTCCCGCCCCTCCTAGGCAGCAGACTTCACTAACTCATTGCTGGAGTCCATGAATCTCACTCTAGAGCACAGAATAAACTTTGTCCCTCTGGCCTGGCCTCAGTTTATCTTTCCAGTGAGCCTAATAATGATATCACTCATTCCACATCCTTTTCTGAATCCAACTTGAAGTTCTTGATGTTCCCTATTTATGTACTACTGCAACTATTTTTGACTTGTGTATGCTATTAATGATATTGTTTAACACATTTTCTTATTCTGTCGAATCACCTTGTTGGAATAGGCACAAATATAGATAGCTTCCAGTGGTTGGCAAGGTGTATCTGTCTTCCAAGTTTCTTGGCATAAATGGGAAGGCACTTGCATCACTGCATTTTGTTAAACATATCAGTGGTACTCCCATCAATTCCTGGATATTTGTTTCTGGCAATGTTTTCAGGGTAGTTTGGATTTCTTCCTTTAGTAACGTTGGTTCTTGATCATGTGCTGCCCCCTGAAATAGTTCAATAGCAGCCAATTTTTGGTACTGAATTTTACATTCCTTCTATTATCTTTTGATGTTTCTTGCATTGTTTAAATAGTTTTCACATAGAATTTTTCAATATTGCAATTATAGGCTTGACTTTTTTTAATCAGGATTTTCAGTTTGAGAAATGTCAAGCAAATTCTTCTACTCAATTTTCTAGTTGGCTTCCTGACTCCTCATCTTTGAATTTTTCATAATACATTAGTTTGAAATCTTCTGTTCAATTTCTTAATTTCATCATTTCTTCTATATTCTTTAAGTACAGTACATTCAGGAGCAAGTTTCAGAGTTTCTTCTGATACCCACCTTGGTCTTTTATTCCTTTCCTTTTGTTTAATGACATTTTGCTTTCTCCATGGTTCCTCTCTTTGCTGCCATCCCATACCTCACATAATCTGGGGTTATTAGTGCTCAATATATTTTAGAGATGGTCCCTGAATTCAGTTGAGACATATTCGAACTCACACTTTTGCTTTCATTGACTTATTTAAAAAATGTTCAGCTTCAATTTTAACTTGCACATGAGCAATTGATGTGTGTGTGTGTGTGTGTGTGTGTTTGCTTTTGGCTAAGGATCTTATTCTGTTGATGAAATTGACCTTCTCCATCCTTTCTTTTCTATAAATGTACTTGATTTGATTTCTATGTATTCCATCTGGTGAGCCCCATGTATTTCGTTGCCAATTGTATTGCAAAAAGTACTGGCACTGAGTAAGTCACTGGTTGCAAAATTCTATCAAGTGATCTCCAGCATGTCTATGACCAAGGCCACATTTTTCCCAATACTGATTAATCTTTATTTCCAATTTTTGTATTTCCAAAATCTGTAATAATCTAAACCTCTTGACTGCATATGTGATTAATTTCAGGATGTAGAGGTAAGTAAAAGTACTTAGTTTCTTCATCTGTGACATACATGGTTGATGTGTAAATGTGAAGAATGGCCATATTAACTGGTCTTCCTTGCAGGTGTATAAAACTATTATCCTATCAGCAACATTGTTGTCCTTCAGGATATATCTTGAAATGTTCTTTTTTAATGATAAAAGGAATGACTGACACTCCTCCTCAATTTGTTATTTACAATATGATTGATTCAAAATGGTCAGCACCAGTTAATTTCAGTTCAGTAATGACTAGGATGTTGATCTTCATGATTTACTTTTCACCTTGAAAGTTTCTAATTTTTCTTGCTTCATACAGCTTACAGTCCATGTTCTGGTTACTCATGGATGCTTGCAGCTATTTCTTATCATTTTCAGTTGAGCTGCATGAGCAAATGAAGTCCCCTAAATTTTACTCTGTGCACATCAGTTTGACTTTACTTTGAGGAAGCATTTTCCTTGCTCAGTCATATTTTGAGTGCCTTCTAATCTTACAGTAATACTTCAGAAATGGGTTCCACTGGCCTATGGACGGTCAATTGCAAAGTCCTTTTCCTAATCTGGTTTTTCTTTGGAGTGCTCCACTGAACATGTCCACCTACGTGACCCTGCTGATATTTTAAATTAGTGTAATATAGTTACCAGTATTACAGCAGCACAGCAGCCACCACGGTTAAGGCAACCTGACAGAAAAGTGGTGGATTATATGAATATTAGAGTTCTGAAAATTCTAGAGAAGTTTTGTACATTGGTTGACATTCCTTGCCTTCAATGTCATTCCTGGTTACTTACCATGTAGCTAGAGAATGCGATTTGTTCAGACATTTATGTGGCCCATTTTCTTTTCCAGTTCTTTATATATTAAGAGCAATAAGTTGAAACAATGAAAAATTTCCAGAACCAATATTTACCTGAGGTCTTGGGAAGGTTCTGCCCTGATGTGGGGTGTCTCCACAGAGTGTCTGAACACTGCTCCCTCTGTGCCTGAGGAAAGCATGAATATAGCAGTCAGCATAAGTCAGTAAACACTGACCTTCATATCTATTTTTCTATATTACATTTTCATACCAAATGGAAAAACTGGTGAAAACAGTACACACACATAGTCTAATTACTCATTTACTGTCTGTAAATGGCAGAGTATTGAAAAGCTCATGATCAATTTAAATGACATCTGTTGACACAATGAAAGCAACCATGGGCTCAGACACAGCCACGGTTGTGGGAATGGCTCAGGACCAGGCAGTATTTCGTCCTGTTTTAGGTAGAGGACCTTGAATGTTTTAGGTAGAGGACCTGTGAATCAGAACTGCCTCAAGGCCACCTAGTAATATTCATAATACATGAACCATTCCTATGGTTATGTTATTGATAGAAGTCACATTCAGGAAGAGTTTTTTCACCCTCTGTTCAAAGAATAAGGACTTATCTCCATGCGAGGCCTTTTCTCTCGGTGAATTTAAAGAAAGGCCATGTCACAAAACTTAGTGTTGACTTTCTACAAGCCAAAGGGAATGAATGAAATTGTGGATGGAACACTCTGAGGTTTTATATTATGAATTATTTTCAGATGTGGATTGTGGGACCTTTATCCTCTCATACATACCTTCCGCCTTTGATTATACAAACGATGGAAACTATGTCACATTATTTTTAGCTCCCTGGAGTTAAGAATCTTTCTTAAAAAGCCTGCTTTAACAAAATAATAATAATTTATAAATTATCAAGGATTCATGGGGCGGGGGTGTTGGGAAGGAGGGGAAAAATGAGGAGCTGATACCAAGGGCCCAAGCAGAAAGCAAATGTTTTGAGAATGATGATGGCAACAAATGTACAAATGTGCTGGACACAATGGATGGATATATGGATTGTGATAAGAGTTTTATGAGTCCTCAATAAAATGATTCCAAAAAAACCTCTGCTTTAGTTAATTTCCTATGAGTAATTGATTACATATGGGAATCATGGTTACTTGAAGATACCCTGCAGTTTTCCTCAGACAACCAAATGATACTTTGGCTAAATGTTCATTGAATGACCCTATTTAACTTCTAAATACCCAGAACTGTCCCACATTTAACTGATCAAATAAAGTACATCTTCTTTTAAAACATGAATTGCCAAAAGTCCTTTTATTCTTTCTTAAGATTATGGAGACAAAATATCTCTCACACACTCACTCACATTCTTGTTCTATGTTTTGTTATTTTCCACAAATATTTTTGATATTTAATTTGGAATAAACATTAATTCCTTTTGGTCTTATTCCTTTCAGATGTCTAATGGTATGAAACTCATATCTACACCATCAATGGCTCCTACATTCGCTTATTGTCCTTGAAAAATACAAAAGCTACAATTATAAAATGAATTTTATTGTGAATAACCTTATAAAATGAACAGCCATATTATTTTAATAATCAATAAATAAAACACCATTAAGAAATTAGGTCTAACATTAAGATTCCTTAAAAACAATTGGTTGCATAGGGGAAAGTATTAGAATAAAATACTTACATTTAATAAAATATTTAATAAAATAGCCATACAGACCTGAATCTTCAATTGTAGAGAAAGATATTTTTCAAAGAATGCAAAATAGTTTCACCTATAGTATCAGCTTTGAGGGAAAATTTATTAATTTTGGCCTGTAGTAATTTCACGAGATTACATATAGATTTACATTTATAAACTAGTTAATATTAGTTTTGCTTTTTAAAAAATTGTTTTACTTTTACTAGGTTGTAATAATATATATATAGTTAACTACTTGTCTCTTAGCCAAGAGGTTGAAGATTTTGACCCACCCAGAGGCACCTCAGAATATAGGCCTGTCAATTAGTCTACAAAAGGTTAACAGTATTGAAAACCCTATGGAAAAATAATTCTGATTTACATATGTGTGTGAATACTTATATATAATTAATTTTTCTAAAGAAAAAATTAAGGCATATAATACTTATTTTCTAAGTGACTTTTTAAAAACCCATTTTGAGCAATTATTTCTATAGAGGTCTTATTGTTACCGAGATGAGTCTTTAAAAGGAAATAACACCTTTAAGTAAAACTTGTTTTGTTATTTAGGTGAAGATAGTATTTTAAAGAATATTCCAATGTACAAATTTTCATATTTCAATGAGATACTTCTTTGACATTTAAAAGACAACCCGATTTCCAGAAAGGATACATGTGCAAATTCAAATTTCAAATCCCTTTAGTTTATGAGTGTGGAAACTTCTCAGACAAGGTGACACACTATAAAAAACTAACACTACAAATAATTGCACACTTAATAATTTAACAGAAAATATATTAGCAATGTTGAAAAGCAAAATATCACCTGATGTTTTACTATGCAGTACTGTTTACTTTTGAGTGAAATTCTGATTCTATATTTCAATATAGAAATAATATTTTAAAAAGATTCTTTGGAAAATAAATATAATTATTCCACAAAAATCTAAATTGAATAGTATGTATAACAATATAAATACCTAACTGCAGACCTTATTTATTTTTTTGTCTAGGTTTCAGAAAAATAGGGACCCATTCATGATAAAACAACAAATAAAAACACATATGACAGCTTAAAGAATCCAGATTGGAAACATAAAAAACACATGAGCTAGTCTTGCACTCTCATTGTATAAAAAAATTTAAACATAAACATATTTTTAATGATTTGGGAATGGTAACAAATATTAGATGGTTAGTAAAGTCTCTATATTTAGTAAATAAAATATAGGGAGTTGTGTATATTTACAATTTTAGATAAATGCCTTTTTCTTTCTGTATGGAATATATACAGGGCACACAATTATGGTGGAGCATTATTTGTTGTTTATCTTAAATTCAAAATTAACTGGGCATGTGCATTTTATCTGGCCCATCTGATCAACAGTCATCAATTATTTGGTAAAAAGCACAGACCTGATTTATTCTCATATGGGGAAAAGTTAGAATGTGTGTCATGAACTCTTACATTTTATAGAAACCATAGGAGCCATGCTAGTGTATGTGTTGGTCTGTGAGCTGTAATTCAAAACTACAAGCAGCTCCTTGGGAGAAAGATTGGGCATTCTACTCCCATAAGCAGTTACATTCTTGGAGACTCCCAGGAGGTAGCTAGGAGTCAGCCTTGACTTATGACAGTGAGTGATTTTAGAGTTATAAAAACCATAAAAGCCCTCATGGCACTGTGGGCTTGATGCTGGGCTGCTGATTGAAAGGTCAGCATTTCAAACCTTGGAGTGGGAAAGATGAGTCTGTATGTTCCAGTCAACATTTACAGATTCAGAAACCTAAGGAGTAGCTCTGTGCTTGGCATATATGTTTACTATGAATCTGGATCCACTCAACAACAGTGGATTTTTTGGGGTACAGAAACCATGGAATCCTAAAAAGAATGTTTAAGATGTTAGTAGTTTGTGATAGCTAAGGTTTTATGTCAAATTGACTGGGTCATGTTTCTCAGTAGTTTGACATTTAAGCACAGTAATTTTCTTGGGGAGTGTGGCCTAATTAAGTAACCCCAAAACCCTGAACCCTACAGAAAAACCTGCTCTTTTTTCCCGTGGATCAAAGTTACATCATTTTTTAAAAAAATTATCTTAATGGAGGCTCGTACAATTCTTATCACAATCCATACATACATCCATTATGTCAAGCACATATGTACATTTGTTACCCTCATCATTCTCAAAACATTTGCCTTCTACTTTATCCTTAATATAAGCTGCTCATCTTCCCCCCTACCTCATGAAACCTTCATAATTCATAAATTATAATTGTTTTGTCATAAGTTACACTGTCCGATATCAGGTACCAAGCATCAAAAAACAAAAATTCACATCATTGTAAAGGTGAGTGAGTGCAGAGTAGATACTCAAAGCCCATCAGCAGGCAACTGGACACCCCGAAAGGTTGTGGGGAGGAGATGAGCCAATCAGGGTGCAGGGTAGCAACGATGAAACATATAACTTTCCTCTAGCTCTTAAATGCTTCCTGCCCCCCACTATCATGATCCCAATTCTACCTTACAAATCTGGCTAGACCAGAGGATGTACATTGGTACAGATAGCAACTGGAAACACAGGGAATCCAGGGCAGATGACTCCTTCAGGACCAGTGGTGAGAGTGGTGATGCCTGGAGGGTGGAGGGAATGTGGGGTAGAAAGGGGGAACCAATTACATGAATTTACTATTAGCCTCCTTAATGGGGGATGGACAGCAGAGCTACATCTAGCAAAGCTACATGAACTTTGGTTCTTTGGACTTGAGCCAGTGGCCTGCAATATTACTTGATGAACTTAGATTCATTTGCCATTATAGCCAGAAGCCTGCCATAGGCTCAGTAGATCGTGGATCCATCAGCCCCTCTACCTGTATGAGTCTGGAGTCTCTGGCCTGGCATCTGACTTGGAACTTACCTCCTCTAAACTTGTGTGAGCCATTTTCTTGTTATAAACCTCTCTGTGTATAAGTGTCCCTGTTAACTATTTTTGCTGCGCTAGAGAATCTAGCTTAAGCCATTAGGTACAAGCGTAATTCTAGAGAAATGAAATTGAAATGATGGAGTGTATCATTTTTTCTCAAGACGAATTAGTTCTAAAGTAATGGATAACTGCCTTTGTTAACACCAATAACTCGGCCTCCATTAGTGAAATTCACAATGCTAATCCAAAGGGTGAGGTAGCAATATTAATACACAAAATATCACCATGAATAGCTCAAATATTGGTGATAAGTGAAGCTTTAGGTGATAAGGTTTTCTATTTTTCTGAAATTGTGTCAGGATGAGAAGTATAGGAAAGTTGGTTGGTTGGCATTATTTACAATAGATTAAAAAAAGAGCTGAGCTCAGGGCTTCAAAGTCACAGGCCAAGCACTACTCAAAAGATCCCAGTTTCTATTTGTGCCAGAAAGAAAATCCTAATTCTTGTGGTAACAAAGCTGATTTTGTGAAAACCAAATTCAGAGTTATA